GACCAAATGTCTAGACTTAAACTTGTATCTTAAATAAAACTACGAATATCAAAAATCGATTTTTCTTCCTTAAGCTAATTTTTTTTTATAAATGTTTGCGCAAATACGTTTGCATTAAACCTTAATTGTAATTATAATTTATCTTGACATAAATTTGAATTACCTTGAAACAAGTCAAACAACTTTGGCTAAAGCTAAGTGTAAAAATCATAATTTGTGGGCAAAAGCTTAGCCACTCAGTCAGCATCGACTTGCCATATATGTACATACATACATATACATACCAACCATTTTCCAAGTCATTAATTAGGGTAAACAATTAAAAAGCATTCAGCAAAAATCATTTAACTTGTCTCTGTCTTTTTAATGGGCTGTGAAAAGTTTGCGATTAATATCTCGTTAACTAAACCTGACAAAGCAATCAGAATTTTGTGGATATCTCGTTCTTTATTGTTTTACCCTGACCTTTGAACTGGCTCGAAATAGAAATGTTTCGATAATTTGACAGAAAAAATCGCATGCCGCAGTTAAAAATTTGTGAGCGAATAACTTCCGCACAGAGTGCAAAACAAATTCAGCACCAAAACTGCAAACAATAAAATTCGGATTACAATGTATAATTTCACGAGTCACTCGAGCGTTGCATGCAATGCGGTGAATTCTTTCGAACAAAATTATAATATTATAATAAAAACAAAATTGAAATTCATATGCATAACCCATTTCCACAAGTCAAATTAACTAGCGAAATCACGAGCTTTGATTGCATTATGGAACTGGAAAATCTTTAGCTAAGCGGTTTCAATTCGAAAGATTGTCTAGTAAGTTGCATCTATCACCTAATGCACTTTAATTAATTAACTTTGTATACCCCTGTCAGTCATCCCTTCACAACATCAGCCCCTCTCTTCAACCATATAAAACATTTTACGACAAAACGAGTTTTGTGGCAGTAAAAAATATATATGTACATGCCCATATACAATATAATAAACGACGAAATTAACATTATCTAGAATCTCTCACTGGAAAATCACCGAAAAGTTCATAAGCGTAAAAAGTTGGTATATTATAATTTTTGTTAATTTTTTTTGTATATCTTTATTTGCATTTCAGGAGAGAAGCATGTATTTATCTACATAGTTTTATCAACGTTAGTTGGCTTAGTAGAATTTCAATTCGAGTTCCCACTTCAATTAATTGAGCTTGGCATTGTTTGAGATATTGGCGAGGCTAAAAATGCACATATCGATATGTATGTGCATATGTAGGTATAATGAATGATTACTTATAGGGGCATTAAAAACTGTAGAGTTACTAAGTTTTTAACGAGTTTTCTAAGAATTTTTGGAAACCTTTTCAGCCACGAAATGCGTAAAAATGGGTTCCATAACAACAGCTTTTATTAACACTTTGAGACTAATATCTCAATTTACATGGCTTGCCATATAGGATATGCATTTTCCGTTTCCGAAGATCAACAGCTGATTGTTTGCTGTTGACTTTTGGATTAAATACAATGTGTAAATTACAATAACCCGTCGAGTAAAATCATTCACACGCAACGGGCATCTCCGAATTAGCCTCTACAATTGACCAGAAAGATCGAACCCAGGTGTCATTAACCGCAGCCCGACTTGCAGCTTGGATATGAACATATGCATGTATTACTCGTATGTATATAGATAGCATCGATCGGTTCATGGTAAACTAAAAGCCACAGACGACAAGTGGCGTGCATTGGCCTCGTTTCAGTTTTTAGGCTTTGACAGGCATCAGACATCAGAGACTGACTTGTATTGCGATCGAGTTGGACCTGCTGCATTGCCATCGAGTTTCACTTGGCAACCGAAAACTTTCCGCACCCCGTCGTTTTCGCAACTGCAGATCGATTCTCGAATGTTTTTTCTATATATTTAAGTTTTTAGAGCACGCGCGGGTTCTCTGTTGATCTTATAAATTAGTAAGTCAAACTCAAAGCGTAATGGAGCTCGCAAATATTTTCGATTCGTGCCTGTCGGCTCAACTTTCTGCGTTTATAGCCATTATGTTAGCATTTATACCTTTTGACGTGAAATTGAATTATATTTTCCATTAAGCTACCAGATAATTTTAAAAGCGAAGTTTGAAGTTATTCTGACCACAGATGTTTTTAATGAATGAAACCGGAATGAAATGTATAAAAATAAATACAAATTAATTGATAAGGCCAAATAAATGATTATTAAGGGATATTAAATCAGTTGAAGTCGGAAGTACACTCTTACTCTTCTAAAGACTTTTGAGGCATGAAAACCAGAAAGATTTTAAGATAATGCCATAAATTTCCCATTGAGAAATACATTTCACCTTGTTGCTCCACAACGTATACCGTAATCAATTAATACACTAAAGCAAAATTGCATTTCTTTACCTTTGTTCACAGAGATAATAGCTCCGATTACCAACAAAGGTTCCCTAAATGGTTGGCCCATTAATTGAGTGGAGAAAAAAGACCCTGAATATAAAAGTAGTTCCAGCTTAAACGGGAAATACTTTACGTGAATCTGACTCTGTTCTTCGGAATAATACAGATTCCCATGACATTACATTCCCCTTCTAAATGTGGCTAGAACGATTTTATTGTGCTTTTTTATGAATGAATGCGATTTATGTAGGCGATCCTCGTTCCATTGTGATCATTTCAGTTCCGCGATTTTGTATCTCAGGCGAGTGAGTCACAGGTGTCTCATAAGTAATATTTACTTGAATCATTCACTCAGAGCACGTCCCTCCGCCGAGATGCTTCCTTAAAATACATTTCGTGTATAGGTATATGGGCACTTATCTCGGCCAAATCCGCCTGCCAAGTATTTTGTTTGCCAGTCCATTTGCTTCAATTTTTTTTTATCAGTAATCACTTGATTGTTCATGACCATATAGCGCGAGCACTAAAGCTACGTTATAGCACTTATTTCGCATTTGACGATAATGCAAGTTCTTCTCACCACTCCGCTTGTAAGGCAAATGCAACGCCCGGTTTCGAAAGCCTGTTGACTAACTTTGATTTGAAGCGGATGGCTTTGACATGATAACAGCAGCACTTTTTCGGTTGTCTACGATTATTGATTAGATATGACATGACGAAAGGAAGAGTTTGGGAATGTTAACCAAGCGAAAAACTAATCGCTGGGATATATACAATCAATCAAAATTGTGTTGAAAAGCATGATAACCAGAAATGGCTGTGGCGATTATATATACTATACATGTTTAGTATTTCAAATGTGTTTATCTTTGCCAATGTTAGCCGACACAAATAATGTGGAGTTTTTTAATTAGAATCTAGTACTATATCGAATGTTATGAATTACTTTGTGTTTAACAGTATGACTCAATCGAAGGATTGAAGCTGCGAATACCAAGAGCCGAAATTCAATGAGTCATAAGCAAATGAATAGCTTCAAAGTCTTGTCGGTTTGTTAATTGTTTATTTGGACTCGCATCTAAAGCGCTGAAGAGGTAAAAAATTGTTTGTTTATTAGCCACATTTTATGGACGCGACACATGACGAGGCACGACAAATCAAAGTGAAATGAATCGCAAATATCTAATTGAATTTTCGCATTGCATTTGCAATGAAAACTGGCGAGCACAGACAAACACACCATGTTTTTTATAGTCGCCATATGAGTACGTATATATGTAAGTGATTCGCAGAATTCGAGAAAATCCCGGGCGTGACCAAAAACCGGAACACCAAGTAAGGTAGCAGAATCTCCCTGCAAGGCGCAAACGGTTTTTTTTCCAGAAACAGGAGGCAGACCGAGTGCAATAAACTGCAACATGAATTCTTATGCTAAATAATTGCCATCATCGAGGGGTTTTTCTTTTGTGGGAGAGGTGGGGGGAACCGAAAGGGGGTGGCTCTACTTGTTCTTGGAAAATCACGAGGCTCTGGCTCAGGGTCAACAACGTGTTGTATGGCGTATTATTGGGCTTATTTTTTATACATATTATTCTTGCCTGTGCTGGGTGTATGGGTGTACTTCAAGTGCGTTTTCAATTACAGGTTCTTAAACAGCGCGGTGTTGTTGTACTTCACTTTTTGTGTTTTGACTTTATTCCACTCTCTCACAAGATCGTTCACTGCGCAACCGGCGGCTCCTTTCAATTACTATACAACTTTCAATCAACTCCTTTTCGCAGGCACTTTCTTTTCACTCACAAGGGTTTTTGTATGCGGATCCCGTTTGCAGTTTTACAGAACCTTTGCTAAAAAAAACTGCGTCACACATGAGGCAAAACACAAAGCACTTTTTGGCAATGATCACGCTGTGCACGCGAAATTGTCGAAAAAAACACAGTGGGTAAAACGGGTAAAGCTCGCCGATCGAGCTAGCTGACATATGTAGTGCGCGCACGTCTGTCGGGTTCAACAATCGTCGGCTGACTGAATGCGAATAAGCCGGAGACAACAACTCCACCGGCCCCCGACAACAAAGCAACAACAACCACACCAGGCAGCCGCAGAGCCTCATCAAATCCGATGGAGCATAAGCTTTCGGAAGTTGTTTCAGACACGATTCGCTCGCATTGCTGATTGAAGATCTGACCTGGGTTCCGACCCGTCATTGTCGAAAATTGTAATTGATGGCCCTGCGGCTTTGAGAACGTGGCCTTGATATTGAAAATAATATTTATACAGTTACCTCTACGACCAAGAATAACTCAGTTGAACTATATTTAACTGTAAGAGAAAGGCTTTTAACAGGCTAATTTAACAAAGTACATAGGACTTTATCAATTATTTCTTACCGAACAGATTAGACTTTTAATGCTTCCCGCCAAGGACCGATATCACTTGAAAGTGCGATATCGATATCATTATCAACTGCTTGCAAAGGCCCAAGGCGACCTTAATACCTATGAATATGACTCAATGAAGTGCACATCAAATGTACATTTTAACAATACTCAAAAAAAAAACATGAGAACAGTAAAATTTTGTTATCAATAACTTACCATAATATACAACAAATTAAAAAATATATCGTATACCACAACAGGCCATCACAAGTTGTACTGCTTGACCGACAGCTTAGCTCAGTCCACAGTGCGCCCATCACTACGACCAATCGGGCAATCGATACCCAGACCTATCGACCTATTTTCAGCAGCCTAACTAAAGAAAAAAGGCAATATTTTGCAAAAAACATTCGGAAACGGTAGAAAAACCCCCGCTTCATTTGCCAGAGGACCCGTATTCCATGCAACGCAAAGCGGCGACAAGCCAGACAATTGCAGTGTGAGACAAATGTGCGCAAAATGAAAGTGACAATCAAGTCATGGACGGGAGTTGCAACTTGGCGTTGGATAGCGAATGACGAGAACTGCGGTATCTGTCGCATGTCCTTCGAGAGCACCTGCCCGGAGTGCGCTCTGCCCGGTGACGACTGCCCGCTGGTGTGGGGTGTGTGCTCCCATTGCTTCCACATGCACTGCATCGTCAAGTGGCTGAACCTGCAACCGTTGAACAAACAGTGCCCCATGTGCCGCCAGAGCTGGAAGTTCAATGTGCATTAAGCCCGCGTTATTGTTCTAGTTACTAAATACCCGTGAAGATCAGCATTAAGAAGAAACCGTAGAGACATAGTAAGCTTTATCAAATGATGGAGAACAGCGGCAACGATGCCCAGCCGCACTTGACGGGTCTGCCGCCACTGCCAAAAAGTCTGAGCGCCGCTACGGCGACTCCTGTGGCCATTGGCCCCCATCCCCGCACAGCCTCGCCAGCGTCCAGTGTTTCCGCACTGACAGTAGCCGCCGGTGAACTATACCTGGGCCCCTCCACCTCCTCATCGGCGGCGGCGGCGTCCCGAAATCGCAGCTACAATGGACACGGACACAGCCAGCGGCACGGTAGTCTTTCGTCCACGCAGGAGTCGCTCAGTGATCGGGAGTCTGTGCACAGTCGCGCTTCTAGCACCCACAGCGCTGGAGCGGTTCATACGCCCACTAACAGCTCGAGCAGCACTGGAGCCACCTCGTCCACCATCGACAACCAGTTGGCCATTTTGCGACGGGAGATGTACGGTCTGAGGCAGTTGGATCTGTCGCTGCTGTCCCAGCTGTGGGCGCTAAACGAGTCGATACAGGGATTCCGTGTGTTCCTGCAAGAGCAGGACGCATTGTCGCCACCCTCGAGGTCTCGTACTCCATCGGACGCGAATTCATTGAGCTCCGACGAAGAGGACGATGGCTCCTATGCGCCAGTAGCCTTGCCTAAGATGACAGATGCTGCCGGAGCTGGGAGTGCGGGGATTGTGAACTCCAGGGCCATGGCCTCGCCGGCAGCCAGTGGGGGACTGCCAACCAAACTGGCCACTGGGTCGACCACTTCCCACGCCTCAACTAGCTCCACTTCAGGAGCCTCCGGCTCCTCATCCGCTGCCTCCTCAATGGGCAAGCACCAACAAATGCAGCAGCAACAACAGCAGCAGCCACAATCGGCTAATCACTACCATCAGAGGCCAGCGCCACCACCCGCACCACCAGCTCAGCACAAGGCGCATCCACAGTTGCCGAGAATCCTGCAGCAGCGCATGAGACAGGCACCGCCTCCGCCGCCACCCACAAGGCAAAAGGCGGGCGGCGGTGGTGGAGGAGGAGCTAGCACCAGCAGCAGTAACCACAGCATCAGCAGCGTCACCCAGCCGCATCCACATTCACACCAACATCCCCAACATACCCACCATTCGCGACCTGTATGACAAAACCCGTTCTTGGACTAAGCCAAGTTCAAGAACAGAAACAGATTCAAATAGCAGCCGCTGCCAACACTTCGGAAAGGGTCAATTAGACGACATTTCTCCAAGAGTCAATTCAAATTCAAGTGCAGAAAGATCCCACACACACTCAGTCTATCAACTCTGAACTCATAAAGCTTGCCATGGTCCCTCGTTCTTAATATTGAATCTAGAAACATATGAATGAATATGGTTTATAAATGTTTTTTGCAAAACGATGAAAATCTATGAATGTAAGCGTACCACTTTTCACGTTTAATATTAAATAATAAACACAAGAAATTTGTATTCAATAATAACCGCTAAGTAGTAAAGGATAAGATCCTTATATGCATCTATGTATTACTCGAAATGTATAAACAAAAATCTCAAATGCTTGAAATTCCGCATCGAATTCATAGATCTAGTTCTATTATTTGCGTTGACTCTGAAATGTTTTGTTAGAATGCATACTATCCAACAAAAACTAAATCGAATTGTTCCAACTCATGTAGCACTAACCAAAACTAAACTCTTGGCCTATACATATGAATATCTGGATTGATTTTATAGCCCTGTTAAGTCTTAGTTTCGTAATGGCGAATCGATTGGAAAATTATATAATACGAACATGTATCTGCATCTCAAAGGAAATTCTAGCTGATCTTACTGTTAGTCCAATAATCCTATCATTAAAAATACACAAAAAAAAACCTAGGCATATATATGTAAAGCTCAAGTATTGGAGCAAATCCCCCGAGCAGTTGTACAGTGCGTTTCGGATGTATAAGTCAGTTGCCTGCAAGTTGCACGTTCCGTGAAGCATAAAACCATTTTAAGCTATTTTCGATTGTAAATTTTTCCATTTTGTTCAAAAATTGTACTCCGCAATTAGGATAACTGTCTTGTAAGTCTGGAACGCATTGCATATAATATTTATATCCTAAATACATATACAATTTTTACCAAGTAACAGTTAAAGCGATAATTGATAAAAACGCAGTAGATACCATCGGTATCTCCCATATCACAGGCATAAAGCGGGAGATTGCGAAATGAAAACAGATTTACATATATTACCTAATCAAAAATTATACAATTTCCAATATTTATTGTTAGTTCATAGATTGTTTTATTTCTCAAAACAAATTCCTTATAATCTACTAAAATTAAATCACCCTATGAAGTTAAACGATTGGAATTAAAATCCACACGATCATAATTGACTGTTCTTTATTTCGTTATCAAATACATAACTCCAACAGAGACTACAAATCAAAATGTACGGATATTTGATACCAACCAGATCACAAAGCATCGATATATTAGCAGAATATAGAACATACATATTCTGCAGCACAAGTCGCAAAATATAATAACTGACCTAGCTTTGAATATCTCGGGTGGAATATGACCTATAAGGATTCAGTCTGAGGAGCACCACTTTACAAAAACATTTTCCCAAGGGCAATAGTTTATATTGACTTGATTTCAGTCTCAGCAAGACCTTTCTACATTCACCTAAAGTTCTTTTTATTTACAATTTTTTGATGAGTGGCCAACCTGAATTCAGTATAAATATTCATTGTTTACTATGCGCGATGAATAAACCAACAGGTTCCATTAACACTGATATAAACGTTCATACTTTATGCGAGTTATTCAAAGTGGCATCCAGTTAGAAGCATCAAATAAATTTGAGATGAACTTTTGAGCGCTTTTGCTGTGTACAAAAAGGCAAGCAAGATATCGAAAATTTACACTGACCGAAACATATACAACTTTGTGGTTGAGATAGAAACACAATTCACGAAAGGATATAATTTATACAATTTGCTTTATGACGAAAGATAGTGAGATATCGTTAAAAAGTGTATTATGTAATGGCAATTTATTAATGAAACGAAAGAAACGATACGAATGAATCGATACAATAAATATCAATTTAAATATCAATGCGCATATGTAGAATTAATTATCACTCTTATCAAGTTTATTTTGTTTGTTCATGACAGACTAAACCAAATATTTTTTGCGGGTCCTTATAACCTCAAGTCAAGTTGCGGATGGCTCAGTCTAGGTGCTGAATGTTCCACAGCAATCAGATGGGATTTCTGCAAAGGAAAGGTTTCGAATGTCAAATTTTGTAATTTGCAGTAGCTTTTCTTTAAATGCAACTACTCACTGTCTGTTGGTCCCCAACCCAATGGCACGCCCAAGCGACTGTTCTCCTGCTTAAGCCACTGGTAGAGCGGCTCAAAGTACTCCAGCAGAGCGGCTGGGTCCATTTCGGTTTCGCCCGTGAACTCCTCCAGTACCTCCTTCCAATGGCGGGAGTTGCCCTTTGAGAGGAACTGGCTCAGTGATCGTCCGGCTGCCTTGCTTCCGAAGATATCACAGTTGTCCAGAGTCAGGCGACTGCTGTTAGGCTCATATTGGCCGGCCTTACGGCACAGGGCCTTGTGGAACTGAAACTGGAAGATGTGGGCGGCAAAGTAGCGCAGGTACTCCACATCTGCATCGATGTGGTACTTGGCGGGCGGGTCAAAGTCTTTTTCGGTGCGGAATACTGGTGGCTCGACGCCGCCAAACTCGGATCGCATCTGCCAGAAGCCGCAGTTCCATTGCGACTCATCTAATTCATTGCGAAAAACGGCATAGCGGTACTTATCCACGGCGTAGCCAAAGGGCAGGAAGACAATCTTGGAGAGAGCCTGCTTGAACAGCTGATTGATTCGACTCTTTTCGTCTAGTCTACCATTTTCGATCAGCCCAATGGCCTTCAAGTGCTTTGCCGACATCACCGATAGGGCTATCACATCGCCCACAGCTTCATGGAAGCCGGGATTGGGGGCTCCCCGGTAGACAGCCGGCTGTTGCTCGTATTGCAGATAGTACTGGATGTGTCCTAACTCATGATGCACTACATAGAAGTAGTGGGTGTCCACTTCGGTGCACATCTTGATCCGCACATCGCTGTCCTGGTAAAAGTCCCAGGCGGAGGCGTGGCAAACCACCTGACGATCGTCGGGACGGGTGAGCACACTCAGATTCCAGAAACTGGAAGGCAGGGCGCGCATGCCGAGCGACTGGAAGAACTGATCACCCAGCTCAAACAGCTTCTGCACCGTGTATCCCTGCTTCTCCATTTCGGCCTTTACATCCACAAACGGCTTCTCCGGATAGGGAGTGAACAAATCGAGCAGCTCGTTCCACGACTGACCCCACATGTTGCCCAGGAGGCTTATGGGAATGTTACCCTCCGCCGGCATCACATCCGGACCATAGTGCTGCCGCAAACGATAGCGAACGTAGCCGTGGAGCTGGCGGTAGAAGGGCAGCAGCTGCTTAAATGTGGCATCCAGTTGTCGCTCAAAGTCCGGGTCCTCGTAGAACTGCACCCAGTAGTCGGCATAGGAGCGGTGACCTTTAAGTAGACAGAAATATTACATTATAAGCTAGACTTGTAATGTGAATTCTATTAATATTAAATTTGTAACAAAAAAAACTATGTTTTGCAATTAAATCAAAGTCTGAAAGAGTGATAACCCCTATTAACCTATCATCAAAAACAAAATAAATAAACTTTGGTAGTACATTATTTTTAGAACTTTAAAAAATGTTTCCGCTTTTGTGGGATATATCTACATATACATAGATATGTACATAGATATCACACAAGTAAATAATTAGCATGTCAAACTTTTTTATATCACGACATCGTAAAAGGAGACTGATTGTATAATCCACTTCTGTGGTGGAACCGATAAATGTGAAGTTGCTAACCCACTTCGAACACATTTCTCCCTGTGCTGGCTTAACTATTTCCCCCGACTCGGGTCAGACATCGGGTTATCGGGGCGCCCATTACTTACCATTCAGTTGCGATGCCTTGCGCGTCAGACGCACGTACTCGGCGAAGTTCTCCCGCATGGGAGTTCCGGACTTATCGTGCCACTCCCGCCAATACCAGGCCAGTTCGGCAGGATCACGGCTGTGGGACAGACGCTCCTGGATGTGCGGCTCCAGGGTGAGGGAGCAATCACTGCGATTGGTGTAGGAACACACGGTGGTGGTTGCATAGTTCGTCTGCATCGAGCTGATGGCATTCTGCAGGGTCAGGTAGTCGTCGGCATTCAGGGCAGATGCTCCCAGTTTGGAGAGGTGGTCGGCCTGTCGTCGTATATCCGCATCCTCGGACTGAATGTAATCGGATGCCTTTATCTCCTGCGCCAGGCGCTTATTGAGCTCCGCATTGCGGACATACACTTCGATCATGGCCTGGCGGTTCGCCTCCGTCACATTGGTGTTGTAGTTGTAGCCCGACAGGAATTCCTCGTGGAAACGCCTCCGCAGTTGTTCATTTTGCAGCTCGAAAAACCTGCGCGCCTCTAGCACAGATGCCGAGCAGGTATTGCCCATGGAGAGTCCATGGGGTAGCTAATAAATTATACATGTTTAAATATAGAACTTAAGAGAATTCCACGCGGTTCGTGATGGTACAACTCACCCACAACATCATGACCAGCAATAACACTGTTATTTTGCATCCCCCCATCTTTGGCGCCTTTTCCGGGTCAAGCCGCGCTTATCAGCTACTCCGCACTTTAAATTTTTAGTACTACGAACCGAAAGCTAGGACGTATTCAGCCCAGATTGCTTGGTCTTCCTGTCGCTGCTGTGAAGCTACTGAATTCTCGATGCGACGGAGAACGGTTTTTATAAGAGCGTTCACGAGCATCGTACAGTAGAACCAGATAAAGCAGTTCACAGTGCTGCCGACTGAGGGCCGACAGAAATCGCTGGAGTTGTACAGTGGCAACGAAATAGCGCAATCCTTGCACATTTTAAATCTATACACAAATCCAAATAAGTAAACAATGATTATTTTGCACACATTTTACAGTGCTTTTAGCAAATAAATACTATTTGAGTTATGTTGGCAAGTTGAAAAATACAGTTTACTGCATTGGAAGTATATGGCGGGAAAATGGCTGAGCTAACAGCACTGCTGCTCATTGCGCTCTCGATGTCGATACAAATGCAGAACTGCTTGCCGTCTCGCATTCATACACAATCACAAGAGTGTGCGTGTTCCGAAATTTTACACCTGCCCGCCAATCTACCTGCTTGCTTCGCTTATACATTTTTTGGTTGTCTGCATTATCGGCGGCTTGGGCGCCGCTCAGCTGTTGAGTGCAGCGGTAACGGTATATTTGTACGCCAAACTCAAACGCAGTCAGCTGATACCCCATTGTAAAACCCTTATTTGTGCAGTGTAATTGTTACAAATTAATGCATTTATAGCTTCAAACAATTAATCTACAAGCTTGAAATAATTTGAAATCTTAAGCTTAAAGAATGTTATATCGCAGTAGGAGTTTATTTTTGGTAATTTTCGGCAACAATATAAATTGTACTAAAAGCAGATCCTTGACTTTCAGAAGCTCATTAGGATCAAATACTTGGAAAATCGATCACCGGAGACGTCAGGGTAACCTCGATGCTCTTAAAGTATGTATTGGCAAGTAGACTGTACAATATCCACACAAACTTTCCAATAACCATGCACAGTGCAAGTTGAAGGCATCGATGCAGTAGGTAAAACCTGAAAGCGACATTGAGTTTGGATAATTGCAAAGAAATCAGAATTATACGCACCTGAACAAACGCTTTTTGGCGTATTCCAAGGTGTCCCAGGATTCCTTGAAAAGGAACACCCGCATGCCGGTCAAGATGCGAACGAAGTACTCATCCCAGTTAAGATTGGCCATGTCGAAGGGAAATATTCCTTTGTCCTCCGGCGACATGGAATTCCATAGCTGGTTTGTATTCTTCATATCCATCACGTACGTTACTTCGTTAAAGGGAAATAGAAGCAATAGTGCCTCGTGGATCTTTTGATAAGTCTTAATCAGAATGGGCTTTTTGCCTTGAATGCGCAGGAGGAGATCAAAGAAGTAACCCGGTATCAGATGATAAAATATACAGCCGAGCTTGAACAACCAAAGGCTGGTGGTGAAGTGGGCAAATGGATACCAAATCGTTTTGGTCACCGGAATCTTATTGTTATGACAGATGCCCAACCCGACCCCATCCCCGTAGGTAACTGGATTTGATTGGGTTGTGGCGAGGGTAAAAATGGGCGGCGGCTTCTTTACCGGCAACTGACAGGACGATGGCGATGCAGAATTCTTTGCCACCTGCCATCCGGAAGCCAGAGCAACGTTGGCACAATAGTCGCCAGGAACTACTATAGCATGCGACTTAGGATTGACATATAACAGGCGAAGGATCCCATGGGCATTGCCGTATATCAAGGCTACGATTCCGTGAAGGTTGTCAATCCATCCTGACATCGGTTCCTTGAAATTTGCCAAAACTGCAAGGGACAACGTTGTTAATGCTAACCAAAACTATCAGAGATAGACATAGATAGTCTGAATATTGTTTTAAAGATTCTATCTATTGAATCACTTACTTATCGCCGGACGAAAAATGCAGATAGGTAGGTCCTGGCCCTCCATCTGGATGACCTGCTCGGCCAATGCCTTGGTATATGTATAGGTGTTCGGGAACTTTCCCATCAGAGCCGGAGCCATGTTGTCCACCAGGTCTGGGCTCAAAGTGTCGTTAAGTTCGAGCACCTTGGCCGCCGGGCACGACAGGTGCTCCGGATAGAAACGCTCCTCAATGTGCTGCGAGGGGCAGTTGGAGAAGGCCGTGGAGATGTGCACGAAGGCTTCTAAGCCCTTCATCTCCTTGGCCAGCTGAATCAATAGGCGCGTGGCCCGCGTATTAATGTTAACAGCCCTGTGGAGCGGCTCAACGAAGCGAATGGAGGCGGCACTGTGGATGATCACCTGCACATCGGCGGTCACTGTCCGGCGATCCTCATCGCTGAGGCCCAGACCAGGTTCGCTGCAGTCTCCTGCAATGGGTGTCACCAAGTTCAGGGCCTCTGGCTTAGCCTTGAGTAGGGTCTCAAAAACCTGCAACATATTAGCATTTAACCCGATTTAATATCAGACCAATTTTGATGTCACTATTGGACTCACCTGCTCATCTTTCCAGGCATGAAATCGTCTTTCCACAGTGTCATTCTTTTTGGGCCTTATCAATAGATACACTCGCCTTACGTCAGTCGAACGCAACAGTTTTTCAATGATCACTGAAATTAGGATTCGAGATATTTTTGTTTGGGATTTAACACCGAGAGGTTCATCAACTTGTTATAAGAGTGTGGTAGTACCTTTTCCGAGAAATCCAGTGCCTCCGGTTACAAAAACCGATTTGTTTCTGTAAAACTGTAAAATTTCCGTCTGCATTTTCGATGGAAATGATATGGATTCCAACGGGTCGCCTACACAAATGAGCAGTGATTTCCCTGGTTATTCCATTTATAATCAAATGCTAATGATCTTTTTGTGCCCATCATTGCCCTTCAATTATTCCATCTGTTCCATTTTGTATTTGTTTACATAATTCAATTACGGAAGGGGCAAAACTGGTGGCACTGATCGGATTGGTAATCCCTGAAACAATATTTACAGATACATATATATTTCACCTTCTGCATGAAGAAAATTATGTAAGGATATGCCAAACTCTTCCACTTGTATAGTAGTCCTCTATTACAACCCGGAAGATATGCAATGAAAAAGAGCAGAAATGAATTATTCATTTTATTACACCAGCTTGGTATTTTTGATAACAAGACAGACGTAGAAACTAGGTTTATACAAAATAAAACCAATGCAGTGCAGGAGAATCAAAGAATAAATCTACATATATTCGTATTCGTCGGATTAGTATATCGGAAAACTGGGGTCTACGATGTTCGTCCAGGCGTGCAGTCCACCAATCAGGTCTCGAACGGAATGCGTGGGGAATCGATTGCGCACATGCTGAACGGCGATCTGGGAATCATTGCCCCGACGGCAGAGCAGGACGATGGGCAGTTGCTTATCCTCCAACTGCTTGCCAAATCGCTTAAGATAGCTGTCGTCTAGGATCTCTACCAGTGGCACGTTCACAGCATCGGGTAGCTGACAAATCTCGAATTCGGCCGTTGGCCGCACATCAATTAGCAAATGCGGTTGAGCCTGGAGCTTCTCCTGGTAGTTCTTCACCGACAAACGCTCATCCGTCGACAACAGTTGCAGGGGATTGTCCTTGTCGGTTGCATGCATCCCGCAGAACATTTCGTAGTCGATTAGCTCCGTGATCAGCGGCTGGGCGGAGCACACATGGCAGTTGGGTCTCTTGCTGCGTATGCGGATATTCCGAAACAAGCCGCTGCTGCCATCGAAGATTAGGAGGCGTCCGGCGAGGACGTCTCCCAGTCCCACAATCACCTTGATGGCCTCCAGGGCCTGCATGGCTCCAATTGTGCCCGTGACAGCACCCAGGACTCCGCCATCTCCGCAATTGGTTACTGCTTCCGGCGGCGGAGGCACTGGGTAGATACACCTGTAGCAGGGCCCATTACCGTAGTTGTAAACAGTGAGCTGACCGTCCATCTTGAGGGCACTCCCGGAGACGAGGGGTTTCCTCAGCATGACGCACGCATCGCTGAGGAGATAACGGGTGGGCACATTGTCGCTGCAGTCCAGAACCACGTCATAGCCACGGATGATGTGCATGGCGTTCTGACTGTACAACAGCCTGGAATGGCAATGGATCTCGCAGTGCGGATTCAGTTGGAGCAGCGCTATCCTCGCCGATTCAGCCTTGGGCATACCGCACCGGTCCTCGGAGTGCAAGATCTGGCGATGAAAGTTGCTCCGCTCCACCTCGTCGTAGTCTATGAGTCCCAGGCGGCCGCATCCGGCTGCCGCCAGGTATTGCGCCGCCGGACATCCCAATCCGCCCAGGCCCACAATCAGGACAGAACTGTTTTTCAGCTTTAGTTGTCCCTGGACCCCGAAGTCGGGCAGTATAAGCTGTCGGCTGTATCGTGCAATATCGTCGTTGGTCAACTTGGTGTGCACTCTGACTGCACCACCAGGTGATTCCACAGCATTTCCCACGATTTCCTGCTCCGCCCTAGCGTTGGTGTGCACCGAGACCTCCAATTCCCGGAGGCACTGCTCCTTCCGGTTGAGCGCTGCGCGCAGCTCGGCGATCTCCCGCTTCAGCTTGCTTCGCTCGGAATCTACCTCGGATTCGATCATTGGGGTGCTGGAGCGGGATTTTGGGTTGGTCGGTCAGTCGAAGAAACAATTTGAAACAAATGTCTCTCACGGCAATCAGCTGTTGAATGTCGATTACACTTAGCGCCACTTTCGATGGTCCACTGCTTCGATTCTGAGTTTGCGGTGTAACTAGGTACTTGAACACGGAGCTGTTTCTGTATACAAGTCCATTACACCACAAATTCAAATTGTTAACACAAATAATATAATATAATAATAATTAATATAATACCAACAAACTTATATACATAGACATATGCCTTGTACCGCATTTAGGTACAACAACCCATTACATTTTCCAACACTGCCGGCAAGCCAGCAAAAACAGCTGTTCTGTTCGTGTTTTTTCACCCATTTCCAGGCAGTGTTTACAATTATCTAATCGTTAATTAAAACATAGCCATGTCCTGGCTGGGAAGTACGATTCAAAAGCTGGGCAGAACCACGCTTCTTGCTGTGGGCGGAAAACCCTTGGCTCCGATGGCATCAACGAGCTACACCGTGCGGCAGTTATCCCATGCCGAGCGACGAGCACGCGGTCCCACTGTGCGGCGCTATGGATATGAGGACAAGATCTTCAAGAGCGGACTACTTCCCCATGTGGACAACGGAAAAAAGCTGCCCATGCCAGTGTATCGTCCGAAGAACGCCTGGGCAAAGAAACGTGCCTTGTTCGGCCAGAACGACTACATCGACATACTGGGCAACGATCGTCTGCATCCAGTCAAGGTGCTCTACTCCCTGCCATCCTGGCTGCGCGGCGTCTCCGGCAATGAGTACCAGGTGCTTCTCCGTAAGCGTAAGCTGCTGGAGAAGTCCAAGTATCCAATCGCCCGACCCACCAAGTGGCGGGAAATGGAGAAGCGCATCCTGTACTTGTACAGGTTCCTCAACCGCAAGACTAAGACGGGATATTCACACCAGTAACACCATTAGAATCAAATAAAATATTTTGTTTAATCTGATATTGTTCGGAGTTAACTTATCTTAAGAGTATGCCTGGCTGCCATTAGGAAGCACATTTTGCATCTGTACAAAGTTCCTGGGTTCTGTCCGTCATACTGATACTGTTTATGCTTACTTCAAGACTATCCTCGCCTCCTCGCCATCGATCAGTATCTTCTGACCATTGAACAGACAGAAGTCACGTTTAACGTGGGCGAACAGCAGATCGGTGATGAGAAATATCTGACCGGTGGAGAAGGCAAGAGTGGCACCGAAATAGAAATTGGCATTTGCCGAGCCTGCATAGATCCACAAGTGCCAAAGGGCTCCCATCATAGATAGAGTGACCAGAAAGAACGTGAAGACCACAAAGCCATGGGCCATGACTGAAATATATTACCATAACGCTTAGCGGTTGAATTTACTAAGTGGACCTTGTAACTTACATTTCCAACATCTTTTCCACAGAGGGAGCAAGGCCAAATAAAAGCCCACATCGCCCAGGCTGGGATACGCTCTGAAGACGGCCATTAGGGCCACCAATACCGTGGCTAGCAGTAGGGGCTCCTTGCGCAGCTTAATACTTAGTGGCACCAGGTATAATACGGTGGCATTCAATTGGAATGTGATTAGGAACATGGTGCGGAAGTGTTCAAACATTTCAGTAAAAAAGTACCAGAACAGGCCGATATTCGGCTGCAGATCGCGGAAATAAAATCTGAAAGACATTTAAAAACGTAACAATAAAGACAGAACTATTAGGGTATTTCTAGCTTACATGAAACCCAACGTTCCATCCAGGAAATTCCAGCTGTTCAGCACAAAATAGTTAGCAATTGCCACGAGTAGACAACTGACGATAAAAAGCACCGATATAGCCACACCCCTCCTGACCGAGTTCCGTGAAAATACCAGTAGCAGTGGTGCTATCAGTACGATGGGATAGAAGCTGCGGACGGTCTCGAACGCGAGGACCAGAAGGCATGGAAGGAGCAGTCCTTTCACAAGGCAGTAGAAAAAGAAAGCAAGAAACAGATTGCTTATCACGGTGGAGGTCATGCCGATGCAGTTCATAACAGTCAGTGGATTAAAAAGATATGCCACGATCACAAGTTCCGGAATGTCAAACTTGTCCAGCGGGTTAAACTGCAGCTCCTCCGTATCCTTTGCATATTCCTTTCGCTCCACGTCCTGCTGGTCCTGCTTTTGCTTTACGAATCGCAGACTCATCACATAAAGCAGAGCCGCCGTGCAGACATCCAGGAGTATGTAGAATATGGGCAGGAAGTGCGGGTATTTTTGAAACAATCCGGAGAGCGCGCTAAGTATCAGCGGCGATTCGTGCACCAGGTCGCCCTGATACGGATCAATGCCGCTCTGCAGCAAGAATATCCCCTCTTGCACTGCAAGAATAACTCCATTCAGACTTGTACATTTACATATGTGATGTGTACTTTGTTTACTCACTGCGCTTGTGTGAATTCAAAGGCGTCGCGAACTCCACTCGGTTGCCAATCATGGGAGCCAGTGGCGTGCGACAGAAATAGAAGCGCACGGCGCCGCCCAAAAGAAGCAGTTTATAGAACTTTGAATCCATCTTCTAGTTGGGCATAGTTTTTAGGAACGGACTCCGCCTGTAAAAAAGCCGCTTACAGCTGGCTTGGCGATGGCACAGACCTTCGATAAGTTATCGATGTTATCGATATCCTTGTCACGATATATGGCTTCGTGTCTGCTGAGTTAGCAAATAGAATTTGAAAATAGAATAGAATAGAAAAAAAAAATTCAAAAGTTTATTAGCGTTGGAACTAAAATTTTAGCTCAAACTTTAGGGGAAACTTCGTATATGGTTAGTTTTATCGTTCCGCAGGTTTCCGATCCTCACGCGCTCATCTCTATGTACCTTGCCCATCTCTTACCGTCTTGTTGTTGTTTTTGGAACCGCTTTGGCACTCGAATTATTGAAATATATATTTCATTTAATTAAGCACAGAAACCAACAATAGAAATGATTGGCAGTAAAAAACCGAAGAAGGCGAATGTCTTTAAGGAAATCGCAGAGAACTTCGAGCAGCTGACCAAGAATCCGGAGCGTTTTCTCAAGTTTGTTTTCCTCCCAAAGACCGCGCACGTGTTTTTTTCAAACCTATTCTAAACAATTAATATTCTAGGCCACAGCCGGATCAACTGGAGGCCATCGAGCAGCTCATCCAGCAGACCTACGCCGTTAGCATCAGCGGGGATGTGGCGAACAAGAAGGCACTGCTGCCGGAATTGGTGCTGGAGCAGATGGACGAGGAGCAGATCTGGCAGCAACTGGAGATGCGCAACGAACTGGTGTTCCAACAGCTGCTGGAGCAAACCGCTCAG